TGAGTCTACTATGCTTGGTAGGATATGATAGAATTTTTTTTTTGTTCTTTTCAGCTGAAAGATGAGAGACAGAGATCTCCCCAGTAGTCACCAAAGATATGTATTCACAAAAAACCTACAAAATCAAATAATGTATATTGATTTGCAAAATAAATTCAAATTACAACGAATTTGAAAGAGAAACAAGAAACAATTTTTTATTCAGGACGCTGTTGTGCATGTGCTCAAGTTTTGAAGAGTAACACGTCCTAGAACAACACAATCTTCTAATTAACAACTGAATTTAGAAGGGCAATGGCCTAAGCTTGATCTTGTCCTTCAAGGGATTTGAGATTTGCATTTGAAACTTTTACTCCTTGGTAGGGATTTGGAGCTTCCCCTTGGTTGGAGCTCGAGATCTCCCAAAACTAGGACTTAGAACTTCAAGAATTGTTGAGGGGCTTGAAGTTTGCTATTCCTCTCCCTTTCTCCTTCTTCCTTTCTCTCTTTTTCCTCAAATGAATGTCCTATTTATAGCCAAAGGAACCTTTTCAAATGACCTCAAATACCCTTCACTTTAAGGATAATTTAGTCATTTTATAAATAAATTTATTTTTAATTAAAGAGAAAATATCTCTTTAAAGATTTATTTACCCCAACTTTCAAAATTTTAATAGGGTAAATATAGCTTATTTTTAACAAAATTTTTTAATATCTACATACCTAAAACAAAATATGGATTGTTTTTAAAAATAAAATAAAAACCTTTTTTTGTACTTGTCATATGCTTGTGAGTTGTTCATTGGTTGTTCATTGATCTTTATATTTTGTATATGGATTGTTTTTAAAAATAAAATAAAAACTTTTTTTTGTACTTGTCATTTGCTTTTGAGTTTTTCATTGATTGTTATATTTTGTTGCCTTTTTAGTCCCAAAGTTTTGCTCCATATCTTGCCCCTAAGATTTTACAATAGCATAGCATGATATTTGTGCTTCATTAATTTTGGCATGTCTCCCTCCTTTAGAATTTTTTAAGTTAGAGAGTATGATGAAAAATTAACCTAAAATTTTTGATAAGAAAATAAATAGCAGCTAGGCATCTCAAGTATATATCAAAACCAAATGAAGTTATACTTAGAAATGATATAGATATACCTAAACCAAATATTAGTTTATTAACTTGATTTAGATGAGTAATGTGAGTGAGAGCTTCCATAAGTTAAAAAACACCATCAGCCAAGACACTTACTTTTGGAACTTGGAGATTTTAGTTTTGTAATCTTTTATAGATTTAGAGAAGGAAGTTTAAGAATTCTAACTATTACAAATATTTTATTTAAATTTAATACTAAAATTTAAATATAATAAATATAGATAATATTTTAATAAATAGTTGTTGAATATGAAAATATTTATATGTATGTTAAAATTTAAATGGGATTTTACATGAAGGCGAAAACAAAAAGGTACATCTCTTTCTCTTTTTTTATTTAATATACATGTAATGGAAAATAATAACGAAAATGCATATTACTACCTTGTAATGTATCTCTTTCTTTTTTTTTTTTAAGCAATTGGTAAATATAATATTATATATTATATTATATATATAAATGTATACCGTATTTAATGCATAAGCTAGTATTTTATATATAATGAAGGAGAAAACAAAAAAACACATCTCTTTCTCTTTTTTAATTTAATATGCATGTAATGGAAAATAATAATGAAAATGCATACTACTCCCTTTTAATGTATCTTTGTCTTTTTGTTTTTTTTTTTCAAGCAATTATTATATATAATATTATATGTTATATTATATATATAAATGTATATCCTATTTAATGCATAAGGTATTTGATATATAATGAAGGAGAAAACAAAAAAACACATCTCTTTCTCTTTTTTAATTTAAAATGCATGTAATGGAAAATAATAATTAAATGCATATTAATCCCTTTTAATGTATCTCTTTCTTTTTT